GAGAATAATTACAATTGGCTAAGAAAGTAACCTTTAAAAGGATTTTGAAAGTCATGTTTTCCCTAAGAACACCAAATATTTCCAGATAATGACATTACAAGTTTTGGAATGTCCAGTATTATGCAAAACCCTAAATTTCACACAAGATTTTAGATGTTGAATATTTGACACATTTTAAATAGTATTTTCTTTTTTTAAAAATGGTAACACACACACACAAAAAAAATGGTAACACATCTACTATATAAAACTATTGGATCTAAATAGTCTAATACTATTCGAATGATGCCAATCTTACAACTAACTCATTTTAGCAAACATTATAGATCCAAGATAAATAAATTAATGAAGGCTTGGTCTTTAGGACTTACTGTTGTTAATAACATAGAATTTAATTTTCATTTTTCATTAAGGATTTCAGTTGAAAGGAGCCTAAAAACATACTGAGTGTTTTAAATCTTTGACATGTGAATGTTAGTATGCTTTTCACCATCTAGTAAAATAGAAAATCCATTAAAAAATTTTAATGAAGTTTAATTAATACATGTGCTTCCTTAATTTAGTAAATTTTATTCTTAAAGAATACAAAAAAAATAGCAGCATGTGAATAACCTGGCTATATTCAATACAATAAGGCTCCCTAGTGGCACAGTAAAGTTTTACTAAAGGTAATACAGAAACAGCTGCAACCATACATTGACAGAACTTTGAGAGGGTCAAGCTGGATTCAGAAGAGGATGTAGAACATGGGTTATCATTGCTGATGTCAGATGGATCATGGTGCTTTATTGACTATGCAAAGGCCTTCGATTGTGTGAATCATGACAAGCTATGGACAACATTGCAAAGCATGAATATTCCAGAACATTTAGTTGTGCTCATAATTGAGACCTGTTTATAGACCAAGAGGCAGTTGTTTGAACAGAGCATGGGAACACTGAATGATTTAAAATTAAGAAAGGTGTGCAACAGGGCTGTGTTTTTTCACCATACTTATTCAACCTGTATGCTGAGCAAATAATCTGAGAAGCTGGGTTACATGAAGAAAAATGTGGCATCAGAATTGGAGGAAGACACATTAACAACCTACTCTGGTAGTGTAGTAGTTACGAATTGGGCTGCAAACCGCAAGGTCAGCAATTCAAAACTACCAGCTGTTCCGTGGGAGAAAGATGAGGCTTTCTGCTCCCGTAAAGATTTACAACTTCGGAAACCCTGTACAGGGTCACTATGAGTAGGAACTAACTCCATGGCACATAACAACAACAACATATGCAGATGATACAACCGTCCTTACTGTTGAAGACCAAAGACCATAGCCTTCAGTATGGATTGTATCTCAATGTAAAGAAAACAAAAATCCTCACCACTGGACCAATAAACAACATTGTTATCAACAGAGAAAAGATTGAAGTTGTTAAGGACTTCATTTTTCTTGGATCAACCATCAAACTCATGGAAGCAGCAGCCAAGAAATCAAATGATGTGTTTCATTACACAAATCTACTGCACAAGACCTTTTTAAAGTGTTGAAAAGCAAAGATGTCAGTTTGAGGACTAAGGTACGCCTGACCCAAGCCATGCTATTTTCAATAATCTCATGTGCATGTGAAAGTTGGACAGTGAATAAGGAAGATCATAGAAAAACTGATGCATTTGAGTTATGGTGTTGGAGAGGAATATTGAAAGTGCCATGGGCACTTCAAAAGAACAAACAGATCTGTCTTGAAAGAAGTGCAGCCAGAGTGCTCTTAGGAGGCCAGGATGGCCAGATTTTGTCTCTCATACTTCAGACATATTGTCAGGAGGGACCAGTCACTAGAGAGAGATATCATGTTCAGTAAGTTGGAGGGTCAGAAAAAAAGAGTAAGACCCCCAGTGAGATGGATTGGCAAAGTGGCAGCATGAGTGGGCTGAAGCATGGCAACAATTGTGAGTTTAGCCCAGGACTGATCAGTGTTTCACTCTGTTGTGCACAGAGAGTTGGTACCTGTTGCAGACCGTGTAAGACTAGTCAGAGGTTCGAGGCCCTCTAGGGCTGAGTGTAACAAATGAGGCCACTGGCAGTTAATGGAAAATTGCTTTCATCTTAATATTCAGGTATATATATTAAATTAATACACTGGAGCCTTTGAAAATCCACAGATAAATGTGATATTTTCCTAAAGCCGAGACTAAAG